TATATATATATATTACTTTTATTCCTTTCAGTTCATTCAGGATGATTTTCCGTAGAAACCTACATTCAGATATACATAGTGTACACACATATACATACAAAAATTGGCAACCTTCTCTTTAAAGTTGGATAACTAAATGTCTTTTTACGCAGATATTTAACAATAAATGAAGGTGGGGTCATTAAACAATTGTTAATGACAATGGACTTAATGTACCGTCCCATTGTTAAGTGCACCTGTTCAGGATAATGGCTTTTTGATTTGCCCCAATTCACGGGCAGGATCTCGTTTTAGTTTGAGGTTTTTGGCACACAGCAGCGTTGAACATTTACCATGTATTCGTAGATGTAAAATCTATGCATATAATATTGTTTATAATAATAATAATAAATCTATATTGCGCACAGATAAACAAAGAAGAATGGTAGTACAATAAATTTTACAAGAATTAGCAATATCTTATAAACAACCTGGTATTAACAGGAAGTCTTGACATAGAGAAAGAAGTCTAATACTACATTTACTGTATACATACAGATAAACATATATTCTATAACCATAAATTAACAAACTTACATACTATTGTTAGTTTCTCTGTGTTTATATATAATGTTTATGGGGCGGCTTTATCTTAGGGGGCGGTATTATTAAGTTTACTTAGTCCCACCTCGAAGAAAATGAAGATGCTGCCATAGATTAAAATTAATGACAAAAATTTTAATATGAATATCCAATAGTGTGCAACAAATAAATATTGTGTTTCTTTCATTCTTTCTAGATAATGTATCAAATTGCGGATCTTTTCGTACACACTTTGCTGTACGTTCAAGTAGGAATTGAAATATTTAAAAGCTCTGATGTCGTATGTGTACTTATTATTTTGGTATAAATCTTAGGTTAACGTTCCCTTGAAAAATTCTATATGTTTATTCATATCGTTGACGACCTCGGTGGTCTAGCGGTCAAGCACACCGCTTTACGACCGATGGTCGCGGGTTCGATTCCTCGCACGGCACAAACATTTGTATTTATGAGTATGATTGTTTGTATCGGTTTGGGTGTTTTCTATGTATAATATGTATGTATTTCCAAAAAAAATATATCTGTGTATATGTATCAGTTATCTAGTATCCGTAACATAAGCTCTAGCTAGCTTAACTTGGGTCTAGATGGCTCTGTGTGAATTGTCCTGAGAAGAAGAAAAGAAGAGAAGAAGAAGATATTGTTTGCGCATAGAATCGAAACTACTAAATCTAGAAGGCTGAAACATAAATTTTGACAAGATACAATCAATCCACCCCGGCCCTGGTCCTACCTTAATGAATAACATACTTAAACCATTCTCTGAAATCTAACTGTTCGTAGCTGAAATCATGAAAACCTGCTAGGAATTGAACCTGCGACCATCGGAAGTAAAGCAGTATGCTAAACCGCTAGACCAAGCGTCAATTTTAATAGAATAGAATAGAAAATCAGTAATTCAAATAAACTTACATCGAAGCATTTTTGAATAGTCATCACATTTTTTTCAATCTACCACTCATTCGGAAAGCTGTCTCATCACAAGAAGAATGAGCAAGAAACTTGCGTGTTACTCTTTTAAATAATATAGTTGTTATTTTACATTTTTAAGTTGAAGTGTGTGAATACAAACTACCAACTAGCACTACTTCCATTAAATACTCAAATAGCGAAAATATTAAATATACAACCAACTGGTTGAGTAAGTAGGTCGTAGTGATGAGAGCAGACCAGTACTTTTTTCGGACTACTTTAATGCTGTTGGGCGCAGCTGGCCTATACAGCTTCACCGGACGATAGGGGGCGAGTGCAGATGGCACTCCAAACCCGCGGAAGGACTGGAGCGGCTGAAGGCCAACTCCCGCCTGACGGATACGACAGACCGGTCCCTACAATTACTAATTATGATGATATCGCATTATAGACACGAAACTAGTGACCAACCATGAATCAGATACTCTATTAATGACTGTAAGACCCTTTCCATGGAACCCTAAAAACGAGTCATCATAACAACATTAAGGAGTCTATAATAAATAATGATCATGACGCGTGTGATATATTAAATCTAATGCGCTGTAAAACGTTAAGACTAAGTCGATATATTGCTACAGGTACCGTATATTTTATATATGGATTGGATCACAATTTCAATTTCCCATTACTATAATGCTATCCCCTCCCACTCAGCGTGGTGAGAGAACAAAGCGACCACCAAGTCATACATATCAAATTAAATTGTAGTATCTCAGCATTTATAAAGTTCTGGTACTCTAACTGTAATTCCTACTTTCCAAGTTCCTTTATTACTTATTTATTTCACATTATTTCGTTCAGTTCATTTTAGTTTATTAAAAAAATACAAGGTACATTATTCACCCTCGAGGACATAGCTGAAAATCAGTGTTTTGCTCCTTGAGTGATTCTCCACACTGAGCTATGTACCAATTTTGTATTGCTGTAGCACACACATGCAGGTTTACCCTTATTGAATTGTTATATTGTAGGTACTTGTTGATGTTATAATTAAGCCTATATGTGTGTACTAAGATACAAATCTATATATCTATTTTTTTTTTATTACACCTTAACAAAAACAAAATACAAATGAAAACAATATTTAAAGTATATGGGTACAAAAGGCGGCGCTTAAGCGATATCTTCCAGACAACTTTTGGGTAGAGGACAAAAGACGTGGATGGCGTATGATGCAATGAAATAAATAAATAATAATAGTAATATATATATAACTCAAAGGCGACTGACATAGTGATCTTTCAACGCACAGCCCAAACCACCTATTTCGCTTTAAAAAGTATTTCATGTCCTTACTTAGGGTCTACCTGTATACTAATATCAATTTAATTTTGGCGTGAGAGCGCGACAGACAGACAGAGTTACTTTCGTAATTATAATATTAGTAAGGATAGTGTGGAACCCTAAACGTTGTACCCCATTAATCGCAAGTTGATCAACACGAAGGCAATTCATGTAATGCTGAAAACACTGAAACCTACACAACCACAGGCATAATGATGTAACTTATAATTTCATCAGAATTCATTTTTTTCAAGACATAATCATTAGGCTTTAATTCGGGTAATTTGAACAAAAAATGTATTTTTAAAAGTTACCTACGTGTTGTAATTAGTAGAGGTTCTATATTTGTGGTTGATGTTTTACTAAAGTTATTTTTTTCAAAGGTCACGCGCAAAATTTGTAGTTTTCTGTTATGGGTGTTTGTTAATGAGTAGTTTTGCTTGCTTGTCATCTACATCAAATACACAATTTATTAATTAATAAAAATAATTAATTATGTATTTATTAATTCATTATATTTAGAAGCTAATCTTCTTTTCTTTTACCCCCTAAACTCATTTACTGTTAGAGAAATACTAAAAAAAATCTTTGGTTGCTTGATAATATACTTTTGCTTGTAGAACAAAATTCTACTTCTTATTTCTTTTTTGTTATTTAGTAAAATAATATAAACAAATATTTAGTATGCAATGTCACTTTCATAAATTATAAATTAAATTATTTTTTAATTAACCGGATATAGTTGTATATGTATATTTATATCATGGTATAAAATTAGTTAACTTCAAAAATGTGTTAAATTTCAGTTACCACCTTTTTACATTATACGTCTAGCATCAGTATAAGCCTATAAGCTACTTTACTCCATAAAAATATTACCATAACCAATGAAATATAGTGGATTTGATAGAACAGCAAGAAACACTGAAGTTTACGAGCCCCTAGTAAAGAGAGCTATTTTTTACAATGGCAATAACAGTAAATGTTCTGTTTTAGGCGCGAAATTAAAAATTGGTGATATATAACCACAGACTAGGTTTCTGTCGCTTTAAAAAAAATATTATTTTGATACCAAGACCTATTTTCTACAATGGCAATAATTGTAAGTGTTCTGTTTTTGGTGCGAAATTTAAAATTGGCAAGATATAACCACAGACCAAGCTTATGTCACAACAAAATATTGTTTTGTATGAACCTGTGATACTAAGAGCTATTTATTACAATACACTACCTAAAAACACTGATTTTGGCGTAAAATGAAAAATTTTTGAGATGAAACCACAGAGCAACCTTATGTCAGTTGTAACAGTAGTAAAACGTAAAGCATCGAGTAAGCCCATTTTTAAAAAGAAATTATTTAATTTTCTTCTGAATCACCAAAATGAGTTATAACTGTATTGCATTGTATTAGTATTATATTTATCTATATTTAACATTAATGTATGACATTATATAATATCAGGTATACTATATATATTATTATTTGTATATATTTATTTGCATTTCATATATATTATATAATATTTATTAGTAACCTTGTAATTGTTTTTTGACATACTCGTAACTGCCCCACAACGCTTTCTGTATACCTAAAGGTTAGCTGGTGGAGAATGCCATATGGCATTAAGCTCGCCTTTGTACAAGTTTTTTTGTGCATTAAAGAATAAATAAATAAAATAAACAGTATACTGTATTAATCTATGATAGCAATTTTTAAGCACAGTTATTTGTGATATTTAAACAATTATTTTCGGTTGTCTAAAAAAAAATGTTTCTATTGGAGCTTGTATTGGTCTGTATTGGAGAATTGATAATTGTTTTTCTTTAGAAATATAGGTTCGTTCATAGATTCAATGTGCTCCGGTCTCTTCTAGTAGCCATCTTAACAAATTCCCGCGAAATGCGGCATGTTGCACTAACTGACCTGACCTCATGTCAATGTTTTTAATTAAGTAAGTACTGAACACTGTAGTAATTTGCTTATTAGCCATCTATGCAGTTCTGTTTTGAATTTATTTCTACTTTAATTCACAATGTGCTTATTCATTTAATGATAAACGGTTACTGTAGTCTATGGACGCTTGAAACATCAAGGCTGTTGACCGTGGCCATGAGCGTGGTCGACCTATAGGAATTTTCTAGAATTTTCTAGAACTTACCATTTTTGTGTCCATAATACCCGGTGCCTGACGATGAACCGCTGCCTGTTGACGAGCCCTGTTGAGGGCGACCTTCCTCATCTACCTCTAGCGGCAGTGGAGTCGCTTCCATCTCGACACTACACGTCACTTTGACATTACACTACACTTTGTCACTACACTACACTTTCACACTTCGTTAGTGATACCTGAAAGGAAAAGAAGCATTTTATTAAGTCAATCAAATTCGAAATTCAAAAATCATTTATTATATTTAATGTTTTATTTCATTATATATAGAACATTTAGTTGCTTATAGACGTCAAATTTTTTACTGTCGCAGATATTTAAAAATATTTTTTTTCTCGACTAGTACAATACTGGCACAAAAAAGATTTAAATGAAATTCTATAGATACACAACACTTTTGTTTAAACAAAATGTTTAAAAAAAGAATCTGAATTGATTGTTAATACAATTTGTAGGCAAGATACAAACGGATGACAATTATGTCAATTTCTAATTATCTTTTTGGATCTCTACTATTTTTGCCACCAAACAACTCGCTTTTCAAGTTGTCTTAAAAAGTATAGCTAGACATTATGCTAAGAAATGATAAAAGATATTAGGAATTACAATAAATAAATAAATAACAACAATTGAGAACTGTCTTTTAAAGTAGATTTAATTTTAATATTAATAGTCAGCGTAATTCATTTTCTGTAGCAAATATAAAAATAAGTAGCACTAAGTATGCACCATTTTACGATGAACTCCACTCAGCGAACTTTCTTAAACTTTTTTAATTCCAGTTACGGAAGAGGTTCATAACAAACACTGCTCGTAAATAAAATTCAAACACTCTAGGATACAAAACGAAAAAGTCACTTCCTCGTTGACACGTTTTCACAATTCGAAATTGGAACGAAGCATTCGCGCGGGAACGTTCGAAAGCCGACGTTAATTCGTTGAGAGCGTTCTATATCGAAACCAGAATACTTTTATTTTACCAAATGTATGATTTCATTTAAATAAATTATAGAAAACACTTTTTATAAATTTAATAGTAATAACAGAAAGATTAAATTTTAATCTACATTTAAAATGCAATTTTTAAACGAATATTCGAAAGTCGGACTGGGTTAATTTGAACGCGCGTTCTATATTCAAATTCGGAATAGCACGTTCGAATATTAAACGGTTGTTTCCAGCGGCGCGTGCAATACTGACGATGCGCTCAATTCCGTGCGACGCCACTATTTTTACAGATGTCCGAATAGTGCGGGAGTTGTGTATTAAAATTCTAAATTTAAATTCAACAATGAATGTTTCTAAGAAGAACTTTTAATATTAGAATTGAAATAAAGTATGATTTTTATTAAATAGCCTCTTATTATTATTGCCAAATAGGCATAAAAATATATTATTAACAAATTTGTTGTAGAAAAAAGCAAATTTGATTTTTAATGTAAAGGAAATTATGCTCATATTCCAACGACTAATAATAAAACTAATAATTCAAAATTTATGAATATGAATTTTGAAGAATAAGGAGAGTTCATAGATCGTGGACATCCATAGAGAATGATTTCTTTTATCTGTGATATTAAAAACTCATATAAATACTATGAGTGTGTCTATCCGTATGATTTTCATGACTGGACTAATTTTAATGAAATTTTTACGTTAACATAGACCTATGTATCACGAGAAATAATTTATACAAAGTCGCGGATATAGGAAGGTATTAGTAAATTTATTCACTTATGTCTACAATTTATTATACTAGGGACCCGTCCCAGATTCACATGGATGCATTACAGATCTTTGATTTTTTCTGTTAGTAATGTGGACTGATGACTCCACTGCTAGCAATGTATGGTACATCTCAGGTTGATCTCCACGCGGTTTCCCTGGAAACCATCGTAATAAATTCCTGGCGAATTGACCACGATGGGCTAACTGACCTGACCTCATGCTCATCCTATCATCCTTCACTGGTGCTAGCGTAAACCATAACCGCAGGTGGGACAACCATAACATTATTATCAATTAAAAATTACATGATATCCCATGTATTATACATATAAACCTTCCTCTTGAATCACTCTATCTGTTGGAGAAAACTGCATTAAAATCGGTTATGCAATTTAAAAGATATAAGCGAACAGACAGCGACAGAAACATTGTTTCATACTATGTAAAGAATATCATATTACCTTTATATATCTATTTGAAAATAATTTATAAAAAATCTACTGCTATAGATACATTCCTTAGTTAATTAAGTAAAAAGACTTTATTAACGAACAAAAGGTATTTATACTTTTAATACAATCTTTGTTAAAATAATTATTCAATATTCATCTTTGATGAGAAGATCAAGGTTTTATCCCAGTTTCCATTTCTCAGTCTAGAGATTGTAAAGGTCATGAACTCATCAAAATACTAATACAAATAGGAGAATGCGTCTATCTGTCTGTTTGCTTAGATCTTTTAAAGATACGCAACGGATTTTAAAACAATAGTTATTTTTAAACTTTCGTGTTTAATATACATTATTTATATTAATAATACGAATAATTTTATTGCAAATAAAGGTATTTACCTCTCTCGGCGATTTGACTAGACAGGTAACCTTTATTTGTCATAAAATTATTCGTGATAAGACCCGATTAATGATATAAATAATGGATTTTAATGCAGTTTTTAGCAAAAGAACTAAGAAATTATCTTTTTTTACCATAGACATTGCAACTGTATTATAACAGATCGCAAATGACTAATACTTCCAGATATTTACTCTATAAAAAAAATACGTTTAAACCACAAAGCGAGTAGGCTCTTCTAAGTACGTAATAAAATATATCATAACAAATTATGAATATGAAAAAAAAACAACAAACGGATATTACGAGCTATTAAAATTTAATTTATACGTATGTAAATCTTTCATTTCCATATCTATATCTTCTAAGGAGTTGCTAAATATTATAAAATTTGCGTTCAAAATTTTATTATGGAACGGAGAGTGATGTTACTATTATCAATTTTCGACACCTGCCTCCCCTCTCTTGTCTTTGGCAGAGTTCCCGGTACACGCGCGTTTATGAAGAAAAAAAAAAAACTAAAAAATATTTCACTGAATGCTTTTATTAACACGCATATATCATTTCCTTTGCCTTAGATGTTTTATAATATATTCGTTCTTAAAAAATTATATTCAAAATATATGTAAGACGGTTATCAGGCCCTCTTTTGTAGTTACGTCTATGATCTATAGTAATAGATACTTTTTACTCTTAGATACATTTAATTAAGTTTGTGAAGAAATAAATTCCATTGTTTATATATTTAGTGCGAGATTTAAATAAATAAATAAGTCTAGATAATTAACACAGCGTCATCTAGTCCCAAGTTAAGCAGAGCTTGTTATAGGTACTAGACAACTGATATAATTTTATGATTTAGCATTGAAAAATACATCATCATCATCATTCATCATTGCCTTGCCTTTATCCCATTATTTGTGGTCGGCGCAGTATGTCGTTCTCTTCCACTGCTCTCTATCGGTCGTCATATCTGAACATACTCTTCTTTTATTCATATCATCTTTCACACAATCCATCCATCTTTTCTTAGGGCGTCCCCTCCCTTTACATCATTTCATGAAAAATACATACAACTTTCAAATTTAAAAGAAAAAAAACATAATTATAATAATCTCAGGATAATTCCCACAGCGTCATCTAGTCCCAAGTTAAGCAGAGTTTGTGTTATGGGTACTAGACAACTGATATAAATACTTAGATATTTTTTTTGTAAATGCATACGTTAGATACATTCTTAGTAATTTTTGAAACTAGAGATGTTTATCTAAACTTCCTACTCTATTTTTTTTGTGTAGACCATGGGTATGCCTACATTTTTTTTTATTCTACGATGGTGGCAAACAAGCATACGGCTCATCTGATGGCAAATGGTTACCGTAGCCTATGGACGGCGGATATTAAATATCATCATTGCCTTACCTTTATCCCATTGTTTGGGTTCAGCGTAGTATGCCATTCTTTCTTGCACTGCTCTCTATCGATCGTCATATCTGAGCATACTCTCCTTTTAACTTCATTCATTGCCTTGCCTTTATCCCATTATTTGTGGTCGGCGCAGTATGTCATTCTCTTCCACTGCTCTCTATCGGTCGTCATACCTGAACATACTCTTCTTTTATTCATATCATCTTTCACACAATCCACCCATCTTTTCTTGGAGCGTCCCCTCCCTTTACATCCATCCACATTCATATTATACACTTTCCATAAGACATGACATGCCCATACCAGTTATGTTACCTCGCAACTTTTCTATAACCAGCGCAACTTTCAAACTTCCTCGTATATACACATTCCTTATTCAGTCATTCCTGGTAACCCCACACATCCATCTTAACATTCGCATTTCTGCAACATGCACACGCCTTTCGTCCATCCCCTTTACGGCCCAACATTCAGATCCATACAAAATGACAGGTCTTATGATAGATTTATAACTTTACCCTTTAGTTTCAAGGGCATTCGGGGGTCGCATATCGTTCCCGAGACCTGTCGCCATTTCATTCATCCCGCACTGATTCTGCGCCTTACATCGCGGTCCATGTCGGCATTGTTCTGAATAACTGAACCGATGTACCGAAAATCGGAGCAGACCGGAAGCATTACACCGCATATGTAGTACTACTAATATATGAGCCTGGACATTTCATACTAAAGTGCCCAATGACCTTTGTAAGCTATTTTTCAGTGTGATATATCAAATGTTTCTTGTTATAATAGCTGTCTTTCGGCCTATTTGCCATTCCGGTATAATAAAAAATCACTTACCTTAATAATGAAGACATAAACAACGAGTAAATTGTATATACTCACAAATTGTGATAAACACATAACTCTGCTTGCGTCATGACCACAGCTGCGTCCATTGAGAAAACATCTGGGCCGGTCACCTCTACAATAACAGTGACAAATCGTTTCCAACGGCGATGAAATTGTGAAAAATACGCAAGTGTGAAATTTAAAATGTGAGTTTTTGACGGCCTCGGTGACCACCGACGCCGCTGTTTAACACACCGCTTTGCTTCTGATGGTCATGGGTTCAATTCCTCGCACGATACAAAGACTTGTATTTATGCTACTCATGAATATAAGTCTTTGTACCGTGCATGAATATAAGTTATTGAACCCAAGACCATCAGACCATAAAGCGGATTGCTAAACCAGTACACCACAGAGGCAGTCATAAATAGCTATATCTTAAATTCTAAAATAATAAATCTTTATTCACCTCCGGTCTATCTCCCGTCCAATTCAAACGGGGATCGAAATTATGATTGAAATTAAATATTGCAAAAACGGGGAAAATTTGACATAGACGACGTTGCGCGGGTTAGGTAGTCTTATAAATATTATAAACGCGAAAGTTTCACGCGCGTGAATCCGCGGGCACAGCTAGTATAAAATAAAGTTCTTAATGCAACGACGTGAACTGGGACAATAATTTACGAACGTATTATTAAACTGATCGATCTAGTTCAATTAAATGATACCAAATTCATGGTATGCATATAGTATGAACAGAGCGAAAAGTGTTTAATTGTTGTTTACTACGGATATCACGTTATCATTCTGATATCATGTTATCATAAGGATATCACGTTATCACACTGATATCATGTTATCATACGGGTACAGCGTTGGTATTCCCAAGTATTAAAATATCCTGCGTCCTTGCAATGTACATTAACTGCCATATCTCATCTTTCAACCGAATCCAAGTTTATAAAGAAGTCAGTTTGACGGGAAAATTTGGTGAAATAATAGTACCCGTGAGACGATTTTTTTTATGGTACAAAAGGTGAGCTTACTGCCACATGGCATTCTCAACCTGCTCAGATTAAAGTCGTATCCATCAGGCGGGAGT